TGTGTGTGTGTGTCCGTCTGCCTGACTGCCTTTGTTCAATGCACTGTTTTAATCCTCACCCAGTAACTTGGCGCAAGTGAGATCTGGCAATCTTGTAAAGATTGTCTGATGTCGTATCAGGACAATTACCACCTGGGCAATCACCCCCCGGAAAATTACCACCCAGAAAACTACCCCCCACGGACAATTACCCCCCAAAAAATTACCCCCGGAGAATTACCCCCCGAGGACAATTACCCCCCAGAAAATTACCCCCGGAGAATTACCTCCCGAGGACAATTACCCCCCCAAGGACATTTACCCCCCGGAAAATTACCCCCGAGGACAACTACCCCCCGAGGACAATTACCCCCCCGAGGACAATTACCCCCCGAGGAATTTGTAACACTGTGACAAATAATGCGAGCTTCTCTCCAAATTGCTCTTTACAGAAAATTTCATAAACTTTCAACTTCTATGTTATTTGTGAAGTTCATTCAGTGTTTTCAAATTATTCACTTCGATGTGGGGGGGGGGGGGTGGGAGTTGCCCAATTCCCCCGAAGTTTTGCTACCGAGTAAAGAACAGATATTACATTTCTTAAAGAAATTCAACAATACATTGCGCGCAGATGAGTACGCCTTACAGCCCCTCTCACCAACAATGGCAAAACAAAGAAATTAGGATGTAATATTTCATTTATGCATCCTCTGTAACTTTTTGAATAAGCTGATCGTGTATTTGTCTTTGTATAATGGGCCCTCGTCCATGATCCGAAATTAAGGTTATCTTCACGCTAGTGGCGTACGCAGGATTTTGTCAAGGGGGGGGGGGGGGGGTTAACATTTTGAAATCGGGCCGAAGATTTCGCAACGACTCAGCCAGCCGCTGAATAGGCGGGGGGGGGGGGGGTAAGAGGTCAGCCATGGTCATATTTTTTTTTTTTAATGATTTAAAAAAAAAAAAAAAAAAAAAAGGGGGGGGGGTTCATGGGAGTTTTCTTTAAAATACCAAGGGGGGGGGGGATAACCCCCTAAACCCCCCCCCCCTGCGTACGCGCCTGCTTCACGTTATCTATATATTTCTGTTATCTATATATTTATGTTGTCATGCGGGAGTATGATATGCGCAGGTCGAGGGTTCGAATCACGACACCGGAACTAAAATCCTTGGCAAGATATTAACCTGCACTTGCTACTCTCCACCCAGGTGTTAAATGGGTACCCGGTAGTATGCGACCGTCATTGTTGGTCACAACGGTGTCGATTTTTATCCGTGGTTGGGGGGGGGGTGATAGGTGCCAAAATATTTTCGGCAATGGATCAAAGCAACCAAGAGGTAGAAGCGTGTGGCAGGTTGCACCCCCTCCCTAACAAGTTATTAATTTGTTCAAGTCACCCTCAATAAAGATAACATTTCAGAGAATATGGGACCAATGTGGGCTTGCAACTTGGGTTAATATCCTCTCAAGCGTGTAGCAAGAATTTTATTTTAGGGGGGCGGTAGTGAGCACGCGAAGCGTGCGAAGCGCGCTCCTTGGGTGGCTGCAGGGAGGGGGGTTTCCCCGTCCCAAGCGAAGCGCAGAAGCTTAGATGTATATTAAATTATTAGAGAAAGAAGACGATTCGTTGTAGCGTTCTCGACACTTAATCCTTGTCTTAATTCGATTTCTTTTGACGTTTCATTAAATTATTAGAGAAAAAAGACGATTCGATGTACAGTCTCGACTCTTAATCCTTGTTTGAATGAAGTTCCCCTTCCTCCGCGCGTAGCGCGGAAGCTCTGACATTTCATTAAATTGATATAGAAAGAAGACGATTCGTTGTACCATTCTCGACTCTTAATCCTTGCCTGAATTCAGTCCCCCCCCCCCTCCCGCGCGAAGCACGGAAGCTTTGACGTTTAATAAATTATTAGTGAAAGAAGACGATTCGTTGTACCGTTCTCGACTCTTAAACCTTGTCTAAATTCAGTTTCTTTTGACGTTTCATTAAACTATTAGAGAAAGAAGACGATTCGTTGTACCGTTCTCGACTCTAAATCCTTGTTTGAATGAAGTTCCCCTTCCTCCGCGCATAACGCGGAAGCTTTGACATTTCATTAAATTATTAGAGAAAGAAGACGATTCGTTGTACCGTTCTCGACTCGTAATTCTTGTCTAAATTCAGTTTCTTTGGACGTTTCATTAAACTATTAGAGAAAGAAGACGATTCGTTGTACCGTTCTCGACTGTTAATCCTTGTTTGAATTAAGTTACCCTTCCTCCGCGCATGGCGCGGAAGCTTTGACATTTCATTAAATTATTAGAGAAAGAAGACGATTTGTTGTACCATTCTCGACTTTTAATCCTTGTCTGAATTCAGTTCCCCCCCCCCTCTCCCGCGCGAAGCTTAGACGTTTCATTACATTATTAGAGAAAGATGACGATTCGTTGTACCGTTCTCGACTCTTATCCTTTTTTCTTCCTACGTCCCCTTCCTTTCTTCTTTCTCTCTCTCTGTTTTTTTGGACGGCGTTTTTTTTTTAGGGGGGAGGGGGTGGGGGCGACCGCCCCCTGGCTACGCGCCTGTATCCTCTCTGTCTCTCATTATCTCTATCTCCCACTCTCCACTTCTTTTTTTGCACTTTTGCGCTTCGCGCTTGACATTTAGCTCGTTGCTTTTTAACGTTGCGGCTTTACATTTGGCGCACTGCAATTCTATGATGCTGTTGATTGAATAAATTGAATAAATTCATCAATTCCTGATGAAGCCGTATGAGCGAGAATTCAATTTATTCTTGTCTCATATACGGATGTCTCATTTACGTATGTATTATGAAAATGAGATAGCAAAATGGGTATATTGATGGTCATCTTGCGAGTAATAACCATTAACTACTCTCATCGGGCTCTCATCATTAATGTTTCTCTTCATTTTTTATTTTAATGGTGAATTGTTTTGTTTGTTTGTTTGTTTGTTTGTTTTGTTTTTGTTTTTTTTTTTTTTGGGGGGGGGGGGGGGAATGATTGTACAGGCCACCCCCACCTGAAATTATCCCGAACCCCCGCCACCCCCCCCCCCCCCCGGGATCGACACCCATGAACATAGCACTTAGCGAGTGCCTGAGTCATGCACAAAAATAGTCTGTGAAGACTTTGGGATTTGGGAGAAACTTTTTATTTCAGAAGAGCTGCTCAAGAGAAATGTATTTCTATGCATTTTGAGAAGCGCTTGACAATTACCTAAAACTTACATCCTTCGTGGAAATCATCAGCCGCACTGCCGTTGTATAACTTATATGTATTAAAGAAAAATCTTTAGTAACGAGGAAGACAACGTGCTAGTATTTTAACGAATATGGGTTCATGAAGGGGGTCTTATATAGGCTCGTAGCCATCTCTCAACGTATCAATGCACGCATGTCAAGTGAAGTGTATAGAACAATATGATAATTTCAATTTTTTGAAAAAAATCCCTCATTTGCATATTTATGGTAATTTATGCAAATAACGTCATAAAATCACATTTTTACCCATAAATCCTATATTATTCATATTTACGCATTCTTTTTCACTAAATATATTCATTAGACCATTTGGAACAATAATACGACAAAAAAAAATTGGAAGAGCCAGCTTATTCCTTATGTTATCTCTTGTTTTGATAATTTCTTATGTATTTCATTGTTTTTTGAACTTATTTATGTTATTGTTTGGTTTTTTTTTTTCATTTCTTCCTACATTTCAACTATTTTGACTCCCAAAACAACCACCTTAACTTTAAACAAGACCCAATAACCAATGTTTGATCTATTTTTAGGAAAAATGACATTTCCATATGTTTTGTACACAAATCACAAACATGAGCGATTTTCGGGCTGACATGCAAAGACAAAAGGTCACGTGACCTTGTAACTATAGGTCCGATTTTTTTATTTTTGTTTTAAAGATGCGCAAGACTCTAAAGAAAAAAGTCAGCGAGCGGCGAGGCGCCATCCATATGCGTTCTCGAACAATCAGAAAAATCGTGGAGGGGGGGGGGGGGGGCCATAATGGCCCCCCGGTCTTATTAGGGTTAAAGACACGCTGCTGCCACAGTTCACAAACACTATTTTCAGAAACAATTGGTTGAATCGTTTGAATACAAGCACATATAAATGCGTCAACCGTTTAAAAATTGCGTTGTAAAAGAGTATATTTTGAAATATATATTTCCAAGTGTTTTCAAGTTTATTTATTTCACTTGATCAAAGATAACTGAACATAATGAACAATTGTAATTATTATAACTAAACATACAATATAGAAAACATAATGTACATGATAATAGTTATAACAGAGAATACAATCATAATTATCAATCAATCAATAAAGTGGGGAATTTACTAAAAAACAAAGCTTGTATTATGTATATATTTATTAATAGATATTGTTGGTACAACACTTTATTTATACTTCAGCAACAACGAAACAGAGACATTATGAAAAAATCATACTAAGAAAAAGAGAACATAATGAGAAAATCCAAGGACTTCATCTGATTAATGTTCATGATTATTGTGATATAAGTCTTTCTCTTTCCATTTCAAAACAATTAATGACTAGCTGATCATAGATAATCACTTAAATTTAAGTGTGTGAAACAAGTTATTTCCTGGTCTGAATGAGACTGTGCAATAAAGTCATAGGAAGCCACTTACGGTTTTTAAGAAAGTGTATTGTTTATTTGTAATAATGATCTGACGCCCATTTCCCCTGAAACCGAATATACTGCCTTTAAGCCAGCAACATTATAAAACCCTACTTGCTTCATGAATACGAAAGCTGGAATTGAACTTGTGGTGTATTTGATTGATTTTGATGTATATATATATTTGCAGTATTTAACTTGCTGAATAATTATTTCCGATATGATTTCCGTGCCTGCGAGGATATTGCCAGCTGTAGTACCTTCTATTCCAGAAACCAAGCATTGAAAATCAGTGATATCGCTAATTTGATTTTAAAAAACAGCTCAGTGTACTTGTGGAGAACGATCAAAATGGCTCATCTCACGATGGTTTCCTTGACGCGAACACTTTTGATCTTGATATTTTTTGGAGGTATCGTGCAGAAGGTTAGAGTGGACATACCGCTCCTTTCACCACAGCCAAACTATTCATGCCCAGTCCAGGATCGTCACTTCGCTAAGTGCGCTCATCTCAATCTTACATCAGTTCCCCAAGACCTTCCGCATGACCTGCTCGTCTTATCCATCTATCATAACCATTTAACAGAACTTGGAAACAGGTCTTTCATGAATTACAACCAACTTGAAAAACTGTTAGCTGATCATAACACCATTGCTTTCATTGATAGTGGAACATTCGAACCTCTACCAAGATTGAAGGTCTTGGAACTAGAGCATAACCTGATTACATTTCTACCCATCTATTATCTTCAGAAGAATGCTCTGTTATATATAATAAATCTATCACACAACAAGATCAGTACCATCTCTGGCACTTCGGTGAGTACTCAGAAGAGTGGAAACTCTTATGGATGGCGGAATATGTCCGAAGTTAATTTATCCTTCAACAATCTTACTTCTATAAATGAGGAGGACCTTGTACCTTGGAGAAATTGCTCTGTCGATAAGTTCTACGTAAATAATAACAATGTGACGTTTCTTCAACCTAAGGCGTTTGGACATTTGCCCGAATTAGGAACTCTGAACATGAACAATATCAAGTTAGCTACTTTCGACGTCAGGTATTTCATGGGCCATGTTGAAATCGAGCGACTTTTGATTGAATCTTCAGGCATTAAATACATTCATCCAGCGAACATATCGTCGATGCGAAAAGAAAGTGTGCCACTGATTAAAGAACTTCATTTAAATTTTAACATCTTAAAAAATATTCCAGGGTTTGCTCTGCGTGGTCTGGAAAAACTGCAAGTTCTGAGCCTTGGAGGAAATCGTATATCTAACATCAATAATGAATCATTTTGTGGCCTACATGCACTGGTTAACCTAAGTTTGTATTTGAATAGCATACAGTCACTTCCCCGCGCCTCGTTCGCTTGCGCCTCAAACCTCAAGGAAATTGATTTGTCACGTAATAACCTCGTGACATTGGATCCCCAATGGTTTGACGGATCATTGTTTCTCCGTAGCCTGGTGATAGATCAAAGTGGCATCCGTATCATCACGTTCAGACCATGGGAGGTAACTAATCTTCAGACTCTTGTTCTTACAAGAAACAATCTCGGTTTCCTTCATCATGAAACCTTCACTGGGTTGTCAAATTTGAAAGCACTTAGTTTTTCTGGCAATGCCAATCCTTTTCGGATGTCAGAGGACGCCCTCATTTCAGTAAGTTCCTTAGAATTCCTCGACATGTCGAATTCGAAACAATTTACCATGAAAGGTTCGTTTAGAAATATGCAACATCTACTTAATCTGGACATGTCAGATAGCCCGTTGATAATTTTATCAAGTGACCAGTTTACGAACACACATGCGCTGAGGGTTCTCAGTTTGTCGCGGTCAAATCTCACAGTTAAGGATTTAGTTGATAAAGAGACAGGGACATCGTTGTTCTCAGGCTTGGTCTCCTTGCGGATTCTTAAACTACGGCAAAACTCTTTAAATACCACGCACGCTCTTCCTGGCATATTTACCCCGCTTACAAATCTTATTGAGCTAGACTTAACAAGTTGTTGTTTAAAAAAAGTTGCCTCAGGAACATTTGCAAACTTAACGACCCTGCGTCAGCTTAGTCTGCAAGACAATGACTTAACCAGTATTCCCAAGGACGCTTTTCAAGGTTTGCACAATTTAAGGGTGTTGCAGCTGCAGAATAATTTAATTAAATTCATCCAGCAAGGGCTGTTTATGGGCACAAATGAACTTGAACAGTTGTACTTACAAAATAATCACATTTCGACCGTAGCCTCCAACACTTTCATGCCGTCAAGTTTGAGAAGATTAAATATTGCAAACAATCCCTTAACATGCGATTGCCAACTTGCCTGGTTTAGACAATGGTTGAACGAGGTCGAAGGAAAAATAGATTTTGCTCCAGAAAATCAAACCCGTTGTTCTAGCAGCTCCTTAAAGGTGTTGGTCAATCAAATAATTTGGTCGTTCCATCCGGATGAATATTGTGGGATCAATGCCATGATTATCGTTTCCGCATGTTTTGCGCCGATTTTAGTTTTAACCCTCGGTATACTCGTGTATCTCAACCGTTGGTGGATAAACTATAAGTTGTATCTCCTCAAGTTGGCCATCGTTGGTTACCATGAGATCACTGAAGATCGAAATCCGGAGGACTATGAATACCAACTCAACCTCATGTTCCATGACGACGATGAATGGTGGGTAAATGACTTCATGAAACCTTTTCTGGAGCAGAGGATGCCTCATCTGGAGCGCGTCATATTTGGCGATGCCGATCTTCACCCAGGATTGTTCTACTTGAACGCCATCTATGACGTCATCGAAAACAGCCACAAGACAATATTGTTGCTAAGCAACCAGTCTGTAGATGATACCTGGTACATGACCAAGCTCCGTATGGCAGTGGAGCACATGAATGACACCAAGTTGGAGAAGGTCATCCTGATTTTCCTCGAAGACATTGATGATGACCATCTACCGTACCTTGTTAGGCTCTTGCTGAGTCGGAACAAGCCTTATTTGCTGTGGACAGAGGATGGAGAAGGCCAGGAGGTCTTCTGGGCAAAGGTCCAGAAGAACATGAGATCAAACCGGCAAATGAACAATGTTATACCCGTTTAAGAAGAAGGATGAGTTCTGGTCCTAAGATTACATTATGAATTAAACTGTCCAGGAACAAGCATGATTACAAAATGGTGATCATTATTCGAGGTAGCATACAGAATTTGTGCTGAAAGTCTCAGCACTGAATACCATGTACACAGAAATGTGTGTGTGGGACTACAAAAAATATGTGGCATGGCCTGTTAAGTTGTTCAAGCCTTTCAGCTATCTAATGTGATGTTACGAATGGGAGGGCATTTGAAGAGCAATTCTTCCCGGAGGATAATTCTACAATGATATTCTTCCAAAACTGACTTCAAAAAACGACAGAGCTTGCAACTATTTTCTCATCTTGCCAAAAGTCAACCTTCTCTTGGACTGTACATACGTATGGTGGTGTGACCATATTTCGCGCCTGAGCTTCATTCGCGGACAGTTCCATATCTCAAAATATTTGGTAAGATTTCGAAATTCTGATATCACCAATGGAAAGAGGAACATAAACTTACCTAATAAGGCAATTCGGTGTGAAAGAATAACAATACTGACAAAAGATCGACAACTTTTGCAGTTTATTGCGTCCATTCCGAAAAAAAGGAACCTACATACAAGGGTCTGGAAATTTTCATTTTGAGAGACGATGTCGTCAAAATTGTTGGTAAAAAGTGATATTAAACGATTGAATCATATATTGACTTGCAATTCATGCAATTACCTTACCTTTGATGGATCGTTTTTTTAATGAATTACTTGAGTAAACTCTTGTGTGCGAATTAAGGTGTCGTTGTTTGTATGACCTTTTCTTTAGTTGTAGCGCCATCCGACATCTAATTTTGAGATCGGGAAATCGCCGGAATTCTTTAGACGATACATTTTCTAATTGAACCTATTTGTAGTCTAGTATTTGAACGTTTATTTTTACTAATTGATCTTAATAATTGTTTGTATAATATGAGAAAATATGGATCGAATATAATATTCGTTTGATTAAAATGTAAACGAACTTTGGACACCCCATCCTACCTCCCTTGCCATGCGCCTGTGATTAGGGAAATTTTGTGTAGGCCAATTAACATTGAAAAGTCTTCTTGAAGTTATGACTTCCAAAAGGTGTTATTCATTGATGAATTTCGAGTTTCATCTTCTAATTTAACAGTTTCCTGCATGAAATATGCGCTTGTAACTAAATTTAGTGCATCATAAGATACGTACAATAAGAAGTACGGCGAGTCTTTTCCTACCCTGTTACCATATATCTGATTACTTGTTTTGCTTTATCATTTTTGTTCGGAAAGGGAAGGGGTGTGGAGTTTGGGAAGTTTTGGGTTTGAAGGGGAGAGGTGGATAGGTAACATGTTATGTGTGTCTGTCTGTGTGAGTGTGTGCGCGTGTGTGTGTATGTGTGTGTGTGGGAGGCTCTTTTGGAAATATTATTCATTCATTGCACAATATATTACATTGTTATAAATGAGTAATAACTTCTAACTGTATATGATTCTATTATATTTCTGTAATAATTAGGAACCAAGCGTATATATGCTTTGCTATTTGTAATAGTTTGATATGGAGATGTAAAAATGGAAATGTGCGATCTTTTAATCATATATTTCATTTATGCTAAAGTAATGTAACTTCAATATCTTGTAGTATTATGACAAATTATGTATACATGCTCATTCTGTTATTAATTTTTGTGAGTTGAATGAACAATGATATATTTTTTGTTAAACTATAAAAAAAAAAGGAACAACAAACAAACGAAAGGATATCAGAAAAAATATTTATGTTCATACTTTAATGCAATGACATCTTTCGATTCATCCCCTTTACCTACTAAAGTGACGAAATATCGTCTTTATCAAAAATACTTCAAAAGATTGAATAACATATATATCTAAGTTATAAGCATTGGAATGAATGATTTCATTGATAGTACAATCATCAAGATCAGTGTGATATTTATAGCAATACATTACTATGATAATGGTAAATTTTAAGGAAAACACGATCTCAAAGAACTTTCGAGAGCAAAAATCAACCTTAGCCAATTTTAATAGCAATGTTTATCACCGATTTAAATTAATGTGCAACCTTTATACCTTGCCGCAACACGTAATCCGATCATTTATATGGGATATAAAAGGGTACTGAATGTAATTAACCTGCTCCCAGAATACGTTCATTATAGGGTGATCGGCATTACCAGTTATGGAAAATGGTAATAACTTTAACCCATTTTAACACGAACTGCAAGTGATTTCACGTAATACGAAAGGGATGTCTTACACTTTCATGGTATCGAAAACCATATAGGAAGTTTCCATGTAATGTCAAAAACATCTCTACATTAATTGTAATCCTAATGACAAATCATATCGAAACGTGGAGTATTGCCATCAAGTTTACAATTGAACCGCGGTACAAACGCTAAGCGTGACAAAACTCTTAACAGCACCTAAAATGATTGAACGTTAACATAGTTACTTTTTCATTGTGTTTCATTATGCTGCAATTGTATGAGCTTGCAAGTGATTTCACGTAATTTATTTTTTGTTTGTGCAAAAAAAAAAGAGTAGAGTTTTAGGTACGATATATTTTACAATTATAGTCAAGAAAGTTGTTACCATACGATTTTAATGCAACCAGTTCCACTCTGTTTCTCAATTTTAATTCTTAATATCTGACCATTTAGAAAAGATCAACTCTCATATAAATTAGATTTGAAATCCCTACCACCCATTGTACTGTACAATATAATACTAAAAAACTTCATCTCACTATTTCAAATGTAATGACTCTCATGAATATGATACTATGAATAATCATGAATATGGTAATCTTCAGTTGCACGTACTTTTTCATTGTGTCACTTATCAGGAGTAATAGTTCATACTTTTGATAAAATCAAAGGATTATGCTACATGTGTATCAGTTTATCAATAAGAACACGTAATTTGTTTTTCCTGTTTTTGCAACCCAGAAAAAATTGTATTTTTAAGTATTGGAAGTTTAATAACGATATTTTACAATGATAGTGGAGTATGTTGTTACCATAACATAATAATGCCAAAAATATCACTTTGTTTCTAGAACATAAATGTTACTATCTGACCATTAGATAAGATCAACTCTCACAGAAACTAGATTTGAAATCCCTGCACTCATTGAACTGTACAATATAATCTCACTTTTTTCAAATGTAATGAATATCATTTACATAATCATGAATATGGTAATCTTCACCTGCATATGTCACTTGCATTTTGTTCGTCGCTTTAGATGTTGTATAATCACTGTAATTGAGTAATTAAACACCGAAAAGGTGGTGAAGCTAGACAAATTTCTTTTATTTTCTTTTGTTGCTGTAGGAGTGAATGTGTGCGATGTTTATATATCCTAGAAATCACGTAAATGCCCTGGACCATATCTCAATGAATGGGCCTTAAGGCCTAAAAAAAAAAATTGATGACTTGGCGTCAGTCGCGGATCCAGGATTTCTTAGGGGGGGGGGGGGGGCCCACATTTTTTTTTTGGTCCGAACAAAAAATCGTAACGACTCAGCCAGCCGCTAAATAAGCGGGGGGGGGGGGGGGGGACCTTTTTTTTTTGGTCTCGAAATTTGAAAATTTGACATTTTGTTCCGTTGGGGGGGGGGTGAGGTCACCTTTTTTAGGTCAGCCATTGGCATATTTTTTATTTTTTATTTTTTTAATTAAAAAAAAAAAAAAAAAAATCACAGAAGAGGGGGGGGGGGAGGGTTGCTCCAAAATACACACATGAAAAACCGAAGGGGGAGGGTCAACCCCCTAACCCCCTCCCCCCCCCTTCCGTACGTGACTACTCGTCTGAAAATAGTTTTTCCCCTCCCGCGCGAAGCGCGGAAGCTTTTACGTTTCATTAAATCAGAGAAAGAAGACGATTCGTTGTACCGTTCTCGACTCTTAATCCTCATCTGAATTCAGTTTTTCCCCTCCTCCCTCCCGCGCGAAGCGCGGAACCTTGTACGTTTCATTAAATCATTAGAGAAAGAAGACGATTCCTTGTACCGTTCTCGAAAATGATCCTCGTCTGAATACAGCTTTTACGTTTCATTAAATCATTAGAGAAAGAGGAAGATTCGTCGTACCGTTCTCGACTCTTAATCCTTGTCTAAATCAATTCCCCCCCCCCCCCTTCCGCGCGAAGCGCGGAAGCTTCGACGTTTCATTAAATTATTATAGAAAGAAGACGATTCGTTGTACCGTTCCCGAAAATTATCCTCGTCTGAATTAAGTTCCCCCTGCCCTCCCCCGCGCGAAGCGCGGAAGCTTGGACGTTTCATTAATTCATTAAAGAAAGAAGACGATTCTTTGTACCGTTCTCGACTCTTAATCCTTGTCTGAATTTCAAATATGTTCTTTGTCTATTCCCTTTTCTTCCTACGTCCTCTTCCTTTTCACTCCTCTCTTTTTGGCCGGCGTTTATTGGGGGACCACCCCACCGCCCCCCTGGCTACGCGCCTGCTGTCAGATGAACATATGTTGATACCTTGTCCGCCCCGGAAGCTCAGGGGTTTAAGGTTTTAATTTACGGTCAGATTAGCATTCAGGGGTCCGCCTTAGCGCCCTAGACGGGGTCCAGGGGGCAGAGCCCCGGAAGTTCAGGAGTTTAGGCATTTAATTACGGTCAGATGAGCATTTTTTTATACCTAATTGTTACAATGGCAGGTCACTAATTGGCTTGGGGTCCAGGGGGCGGAGCCCCGGAATCTCAAGGGTTTTAGGCACTCAATTACGGTCAGATGAGTATCGAGGGGCCCGCCTAAGGGCTCTTGGTTGGGTCCAGGGGGCAGATCCCCCAGAAGCTCAGGGGTTTTAGGCGTTTAATTACGGTCAGATGAGCATTTTTGATACCTTATTATTTGTGACACTAGCAGGACACTATTTGGCGTGGGGTCCAGGGGGCAGAGCCCCCAGAAATCAGGGGTTTTAGGCATTAAATGACCGTCATATGAGCATCTAAGGGCCCGCCTTAGGGCCCTAGGTGGAATCCAGGGGGCAGAGCCCTTAGGATTTTAGGCATTAATTTTAATCATGGTCAGATGAGCATATTTTGATACCCCATTATAAGGTGACACTGGCAGTTAACTATTTTTTCTTTCTCGCTCTCTTTCTTTCTATTTCTCTTTAATATACCTTTTCAAAGAAAGTGTGGGGGAGGGGCTCGAGGATCCCGATCCCCGCCGTTCCGCGGGCCCTGATATGTAGGCATCTCAAGAAGCATTTTCTTGCCTGGCTGTAAATTTAGGAATTTGTCATTTTCCAACAAACGCATGAAGTGAGGAAAATTATCTCATTTCAGCATTATTTGTTATAAACCACCGTTATGGAATTATGAATAAACCACGTTTGAATTCTATTTTTTTCCAACCCCCCCTCCCCTATCAGTATGCCAGTGCCCCCCCCCCCCTCCGATCTACACCTTGTTGGCGGGAAAATTGCAACTTATATCCCCCTTCTTTTGTTTTCTTCTTCCTATTTTGTCCTTCCCTTTATCTCCTCTTTATCTTTATTCTTTCCCTTTCCTTTCTTCTCTTTTATTTTTTTATTGGGGGGGGGGGGGAGGGGGAGGCAAGTCCTTCCCCCGATCTCCTTCTTCTCTCTTTTCTTTTCTTCTTCCTCTTCTTTTTTCCCTTTCTCTCCTCTTTCCCTTCTTTTCCTTCTCTTTCTCTCCTTTTTTTTTTTTTTTGCGCGTGGGGGGGGGGGGGGGGGGGCCAAGGCACGCTCGGCCCCCCCCCTGGATCCGCGCCTGCTTGGCGTAACCCGCCCAACCCTATTTTTATCGCCGACCCTACGCTTTTTTATTTTTTTTGATCCGATTGCGATTGCGTAAATATCGATATCGCAGTGGGGAAAACCCGGATGTTTGTTGCTTTCGTTATGGGCTTTGCCGCGCCGTGTTTGGGCCAGCTCGCGCGCTGAGTGCATGCAGCGGGCAGGTACGCCATAGTACCGCTAGGCGATTGTATCCCCAACATGGCGTCCTATGGCGTTCAGTTCACGGGTAAATTTGGTGCTCACGTTATATTCAGCGTTCTTCGGAAGGTGGACATTGAAGCAACAATCGGAGAAATCGTTCAAGATCTGGCCGCTGATAATTTTGTGGTTAAGAACATCAAGGCATATAAGGAAAACTGTGATCCGTTTTCTGATTTGCTGTTGTCTGAAACAGTGTCACTATTACACAGTGTGTGTGTCCATATATGTGTGCGTGTGTGCGTGGAGTTATTTGAACATATTGTGGTCTACCCCTCTCATCAGATCATCCCCAATGTCTGAGGACCTATCTACGCCACTGTATGTATGTATGTGTATGAATGGCTAATTTCATGCATGCAAATATAAGCAACAACAACAACAACCACAAAAAAAAAAAAAAAAAAAAAAAAAAATCGCCCTACCTACCCTAATTTTCAGTGACCCGTTACGCCAAGTCATCAATTTTTTTTTAAGGCCTAACTGAAAGTGAATATGCTTGTGACACCTGTTCTACACATTTTTACATAATAGCAGTGAAGGGATGTTCCTTTGTCTACCTGAGGAACTGTATATTTTGTCCGCTTTCTTTGTCAGTCATATTCATAGTGACTACTACTACTACCGGGCGCGTACGCAGTGGGGGGGGGGGGGGGGGGGGGGGGGAAGGAGTGGGTGTTTTGGGGGTTAATCCCCCCTCATCTTTTTGTTTTGCTGTAAAAAAAACACAAATGCTCTCACTACCCCCCCCCCCCCCCCACCCACCCACCTCCTCCTCACTGAGCGAAATAACGATTGGCGCGATTTTCAAATTTCGGGAAAACAAGAAATTATTGCTCATTCCCCGCCCCCCCCACCATTTTTCTTAATAATGTGAATATATGTGTGTGTATGTGTGTGCGTGTGTGTGCGCGCGCTTGTGTGTGTGTGTGTGTGTGTGTGTGTGTATGTTGGAAATGCTTAAAAGAGCTGTCCAACGAGATGCAGAGTGAAAATAGTAAAAACAATTCAATTCACAGCGCTTGATGGATTATACATGTATACACAAAAGGCATGGATTAAACTTCACAAGCACTTTCGATTTATTCTCATCAGGTCTTAAAAAGTGCTTGCGAATTTCAATCCATGCCTCTTGAATATTTCAACAAGTGTTGTGAATGAATACACTTTCTACCATACATCACTTTATTGATACTTCAGCAATAAAGGAACAAAGAAATTAAGAAAAGAAATCATACAAAGAAAAGGAGAACATAATAAGAAAATTCAAGGACTTCACTTGATTAATGGTAATAATTATTCCCATATCACATATCGATTGCAAACCGACGAATGACTAGCTTATTATACTAATCAATTAAATTCAAGTGTGTGAAACAAGCTATATCCTGGTCTAAATAAGACTGTGCAATAAAGTCATAAGAAGCCTACAGAGGGTTCTTGAGAAAATGCATTGTTTATTTGTAACAATAATCTGAAGCCCATTTCCCCTGAAACCAATATACTGCCTTTAAGCCAATAGCGTTATAAAAATCCTACTTGCTTCATGAATACGAAAGCTGGAATTGAACTTGTCGTGTATTTGATTGATTTTGATGTACATATATACAGTATTTTACTTGCTAAATCATTATTTCCGATATGATTTCCGCGCCTGCGAGGATATTGCCAGCTGTAGTACCTTCTATTTCGGAAACGAAGCATTGAAAATCAGTGTCATCGCTAATTTGATTTTAACAAACAGCTCAGGGTACTTGTGGAGAACGATCAAAATGGCTCGTCTCACGATGGATTCCTTGATGCGAACACTCGTGTTCTTGATAGTAATATTTTTGGGAAGTATCGTGCAGAAGGTTAAAGTGGACATGCCAATAAGTTCACAACAGCCAAACTATACATGCACAGTCCAAGATCGTTGCATCGCTAGGTGCGCTCATCTCAATCTTACCTCGATTCCCCAAGACCTTCCGCATGACCTGCTCGTCTTATCCATCCATCATAACCAATTAACCGAACTTGGAAACAGGTCTTTTATGAATTACACCCAACTTGAAAGATTGAATGCTGTTCATAACATCATTGCTTTCATTGATAGGGGAACGTTCAAACCTCTACCACAATTGCAGGTCTTGGAACTAAATCATATCCTGATTACTTTTCTACCTATCTATTTTCTTTAGAAGAATGCTCTTCTATACATAATAAGTCACACAACAAGATCAGTACCATCTCCGGCACTTCGGTGAGTACTCAGAAGAGTGGAAACTGTTATGGATGGCGGAATATGTCGGAAGTTAATCTATCCTTCAACAATCTTACTTCTATAAATGAGGAGGACCTTGTACCTTGGAGAAATTGCTCTGTCGATAAGTTCTACGTAAATAATAACAATGTGACGTTTCTTCAACCTAATAGTGTGGTACGGTATGTCACTGAGACAGCTCCCGTAGGATTTTTGTGCCAAAGTTGATTTTCTTGCTGTTTTGGCTTCAAAAGGGTCCCAATTGACCAAAAATGATGGGGTTCAAATTTTCAGACCCCTCCTTCATTTCCTGGGGGGTCCTAGACCGGGAGCCAGTGGGGGTCAACCTAGCTGGGAAGGAAACCAATTTTAATGTGCACAGATGTAAAGATCGCATAGCTCCACATAACAAATTGACCGTCTGGCATGTTCTAAGTGGTGGATGTGGCCAGGGGGACGCCCCCACCCAAAAAGTGTCCCTTTTGATGACAAAATAGTATTGTGTAAATAATATTTTATGGAAACCTTGAACCACAATGAGTTTGGTGTCATATGAAAGAGAGTTAAATTATCTACATTTTGATACCAATTTGTAAAGAATTTGGGATTAATTAACATCGCAAATCTAAGTATGAAAAATGATTTTTGTGATTTTTTTCGAAAACAAATAATTTTATAAAAAATATCATTTTCCATATTTCAAAATTGGAGAATTGCATTTTTTCATAACTTTTCGGGAATTTGCTTATTTACATCGACAATATCCTGAGCGAGGGAGAGGTTTATATATCGTTTCAATAAAAGTTATAGCAATCCAAAGTTATTGATTTGATTTCCACAAAAACAACATATTTGCCCACATGTGTAATAACTGTATGCATCTATGTGCATTTTATAGTGTAATAAGGACCTGTTTGGTGTGTTTACATCGAGTTTTAAAGATAACTTTGATCTAAAACCTCTAATCACCATGTATTTGGTGTCAAAAGATGGATAATTAAAATACCTTCATTCTGATATCAATTTCAATGAGTGATGTAGTGTGTGAAATATTAATTTTGAGCCAAAAAGGTGCTTTATTGTAGATATTCCTCTGATTTTTGCCAATATATCGGTATATTAAAGATACTATGTCCCTTTCGCAGCCAACCTCAAATTCTGTAGAACTTTGCAGGAATTATGACTATGTCATGTATTTCCTATCTGTGAAATTCAAACGTTAGCATTGTCCTAATATGCAAATTATGCAAGGAAACCCGTTTACCTGCTAGACTTCACTGTCAGACACTATTGTCAGTATTGAGTGACTAACTGGCTTTTTCTTCTTCTCTGGTAATAACATACATAAAATGAGCTGTAAAGGATTTGTCTACATCAATAACCCACTTCTTGTAATGGCCAAAATTAAACTGATTGAATCTTTGCACAGCATAAAACGTACGACCATGCGGTACAATGGTCTGAAAATCAAGACTATTACTTATTGGCTCTATAGCTCCTAAGTCGATTTGACAACTAATAGTCGTTATTTTCCCACTTAAAGACATTTTCCAGCTCCGTTTTGTTAAGGGGAGTTCTAAATTAGTATTATCTTTCAAATGCCATTGGAATTTAACCTTTTCATTTTTTGGGCCTGCAAAAGGGACATAGTACCTTTAAGTGGACAAAAGTGATTAGACATTTAGTAGTGCAGAGAGTTCAACAGTGTGGGATTGGGGGAGGGGGCAAACATTCCAGGGGGCTCACCTTTCAGGGGCAGTGGCGTAATGAGCAAAAACGTATTTTTGGGGCAGAAGAAAAATCTGCACCACCACCACTCTTACACGTTACATGCCGGCCCCGCGGAACGTTTTTCAAAGTGGAGTATTAACGATCAGGTAGAGCGAAGCGAGTGCAGCGTAAATTGGCGTGGGGTCCATTGTCTTTGCCCCGGCGGGGTCAAGGGGCGAAGCCCTCGAAAGCTGCACGGGTTTTAGTCATCATATACGGTCAGATAAGCATATTTAGATACCTTATTTGTGACACTGGCATGTCACTAATTGAAGTAGGGTCTAGGGGGCTGTGTCCCATGAAGCTCAGCGTTTAAGGCATTTAATTATGGTCAGATGAGCATCCAGGGACCCGTCTTAGTGCCCTTGGTGAGGTCCAGGGTGTGGAGCCCCGGAAGCTCAGGGGTTTTAGGTATTTAATTACGGTCAGAAGAGCATATTTTGACACCTCATTTGTGACACTGCATGGCAGGTCACTCATTCTTTCTTTTTGTCTTTCACATACTTTTTCAAAAAAGTGAGGAGGGCTCGAGCCCTACCGTTCTGCAGGCCCTGACATGAATGCTTCTAAAGAAGCATATTTTTTTGCCTAATTGTAAATTTGGGAGACTTGTCATTTTCCAACAAAGGCATACAAAAGTATAGTTTACCTCCCGAAAAGAGAAAAAATCCCAGAAAATCATGTCATTTCAGCAACATGTTCAAAAAGACCATATGATTTATGCAACAGGCATGATAGAACTCTAATGTAGACGGTGATGTGCTGTCAAAATTATAAGCTGGTACCTAATGACATTTTCCAATCATTAAATCGGGAGATCCTCAGAAGTTCAAGGAGTTAGTAACGATTTTAAATTATTCATGGCTAAGCAGAAAAGATTTCTAATTGATCTCAATTGTAGTTCTGGAACTTCCTATTTTAAACACACAAAGACTAAAACTGAGATTCAATCGAATCAAGTAGTTTCATAATGTTCCTTCGATTTTTGTACCGAATTACTTGTAATCGAGAGAAAAAATTACTTTGCATACCTAGCCGAAACTATTTTTTGAGAAAAGTTTATGTCATTCTAATCTTATCATAATAGGAATTATGCGGAGTATTGGTTGTTTACAAGCATACACGTGTTTTCTTATAGTAGTCAGGCAAAATAAACCACAAAACCAAATATGGCGATATTATATTATATTCATGTTGATCGATGCACTAACTTATCTTGGGCATTGGCAAGATTATGACATACGGCTGGAAGGGGCGGCGTGGGGTGGGGGGGGGGGGGAGGCAACTGCCAATGCCCATATTTCCTGAAACAGTCCCAGAGTACAGAAGAAGAACTTATCAATTGCACTCAGGGCTCTAAATCCTTTGAACTTTCTGCACTACTAAATGTCTAATCACTTTTGTCCAGTTAATATACCGATATACTGGCAAAAAGCAGAGGAATATCTACAATAAAGCACCTTTTGTGCTCAAAATTAATATATCACACACTACTCATTGAAATTGATATCAGAATGAAGGTATTTTAATTATCCCTCTTTTGACACCAAATACATGGTGATTAGAGGTTTTAGTTCAAAGTTATCTTTAAAACTCGATGTAAACACACGAAACAGGTCCTTAATACACTAATGCACGTAGATGCATACAGTTATTACACATGTGGGCAAAAAATGTTGTTTTTGTGGAAATCAAATCAATAACTTTGGATTGCTATAACTTTTTATTGAAGCAAAGTATAAACCTCTCCCTCGCTCAGGATATTGTCGTTGTACATAAGCAAATTCCTGGAAAGTTATGAACAAATGCAATTCTCCGATTTTGATATATGGAAAATAATGTTTTTTTATAAAAATTAATTTTTTCGAAAAAAAAATCACAAAAATCATGTTTATTACTTAGTTTTGCGATGTTCATTAATCCCAAATTCTTTGAAATTGGTATCAAAATGTAGATAATTTAACTCTCTTTCATATGACACCAAACCCATGGTGGTTCAAGGTTTCCTCAAAATATTGTTTACACAATACTATTTTGTCGTCAAAAGGGACACTTTTTTGGTGGGGGCGTCCCCCTAGCCACACCCACCACTTGGAACATGCCAGACGGTCAATTTGTTATGTGGAGCTATGCGATCTTTACATCTGTGCACATTAAAATTGGTTTCCTTCCCAGCTAGGTTGACCCCCACTGGCCCCCGGTCTAGGACCCCCATGAAATGAAGGAGGGGTCTGAAAATTTGAACCCCATCATTTTTGGTCAATAGGCCAGTTTCGTAATGTATTCAGAGACCTTTAAATCGCATTACGTAATCGGAGGGTCGGACAAACAAAGAGCTCGCGGTGCGTAGCAGCCTACACTTTGCGTGCATACAATGTACATGCATGACCGCATGTGTTCGCTAGGCCCGGGTCGCTAGGTGTGATTGTATCGTTTGTTTTCGCTATTTTGAGAGAGAGAGAAGAAAAAGGAGGCAGTTTCAAACTTGAATAATTAATATCTTTGAGATGTGATTTTGTTCTTCATACATTTGATCTTTAAAATCGCTGAGTCTTAGGCAGGAATAATAGGAAAGCATTGCTGTTACAGAACTAGCGATTCACATCTTGCAAGTTGCAGCCAAACCTGTTCGGACAAGGCCCCGGTACAGGCACTATGAATATGACCGACAAAGAAAGCGGACAAAATATACAGTTCCTCAGGTAGACAAAGGAACATCCCTTCACTGCTATTATGTAAAAATGTGTAGAACAGGTGTCACTTGCATATTCACCTTTTTACATAATAGCAGTGAAGGGATGCTCCTTTGTCTACCTAAGGAACTGTATATTTTGTCCGCTTTCTTTGTCGTCATGTTCATATAGTGAGGCAGCGCACGATACCCCTCAAAAAGAAGAAAAACGAGGTCGATGATACATGCGACATTGGCTTGAATTGAAAGCCAGTGATGAAACAGAAAGCGAAGCACCAAAATATCAGTTAGCTAGCCGATATCGGTAATTTCCATTCAAATTTGCATTTACCTTAACTTGAAACTGAGTACAAATTTGGACGTAGAAATAAAAGAAGTGATGAACTATTGTCCACTCGTTCGCACACGCAGTCACTTATACTTGCATAAGAACGTGCGTGCGCGCGTACCACGTGTTCGTGTTCGTGTAGGCGCGATTCACATTTTCATAATGAAAACAAATTTACGGATTAAAAAATGTTTGTAAACGCCTCGATACGAACTATTTCAAGGCGGACGAGAAACGGCTAACCAGAAGCAAGCACAGTGACCGCAGAATCAATATTATTAACAAAAGTAACGAGAAATAATAAGAAAGGTAATAATGATTACACTATAAGGTCTTTGTATTAATAAAATAATATTTATAAAATAATGTCGTCCGATGACAGAGAGCTAGAATAAGAATGATGAATAATGATAAACAAATAATGTTGAACGGAAAAACACTGAACAAGGAAAAGGAATGTGTGAACTTTGTGAAGCAAAGATTGTTAAATAATAATAGAGCAATGGAAACAAAATAATAAAAGTAATAATAAAAAAACATTTATGATGGCAAGGAAGAAGAATCAGCTGATGAAGAATTTTATTGTTTAAAATAAGATTAGGAATTAAGTTTGATTAGACCCTATCATAAAATAAAAGTGAACAGTATTATAATTATGCTGGACCTTCGTTATTCACGTAGCAATTATTATTTAAAAAAAACATTTAAAAATAAATTTGTTATTACATTTTCTATTAGACTTCTACTTTTTGTTTGTTTAATACTTATATATTTTTCTTTTTGTTCAAGTTGGTATGTTCTGTCTTTTTGCGTCGGTTTGACCTATATTCTAAAAAAACACGAGTCGATCGCTATCATGAGCTGCTGAGAGCTAGCTAGAGGGGGGTTGTACTCAAGCTTCTCCACATGCATATGGCCATCGGAAAATGTTAATCAGAGTCTTCTAAACTCTTAAAAGCCTTCAGTTTTCGACGATCATAAATGCATGGTCCGCCATATTTTCTACTAGATAATTGAATAGGTCTAGGTCCCAAAGTCAGGAATATCGTCAAATTTAAGGGAGGTATGTAACTAGTTCACTTAACGAAAATGCTGCCCGTTGTAATTTCCCCACACACAGCCACGTCTACCGAGTGACACGGACCCCGTAGGTCAGGGGCTACGGGCAGGCTAGTCCGCTACTGCGGACGCTAATTTAACGAGTCTTTTCTCGGGTGTATACCGTGGTCGAAACTCCTCTTTTTCTGAGAAATTAGTGCAGCTGCCTGAAACTCAACTTGATGAATGGCAAGTTGGAAGACATTTCCAGCCAAAACAGAAATTCATATATAAACACGCAGTTTTTATAGAAAGATATGAATGCAATTAAACGGCAAGAACCGACATTCTAATACACAACGCACAGATAAAAAATGGCGATTTGACAAAGCTTGCCGGGCTTAGTTACAGTAACCGCGCATTACGTAACCGCCGAAACTGGCCTATTGAGACCCTTTTGAAGCCAAAACAGCAAAAAAATGAACTTTGGCACAAAAATCCTACGGGATTACATACTGTACCGCACTAAAAGCTTGAACTGCTTGTGGTATATTTGATTGACTTTGATACATATATACAGTATTGTACTTGCTGACTCGTTAGTTCCGATATGACTCATACGTGCCTGCGAGGATGTCGCCAAAACTAGTACCTTCAGTGTCTTCTATTCCAGAAACCAAGCATGGGAATCTTGTTGGGAGGTATCGTACAGAAGGTTAGAGTGGACATGCCAATCAATTCACAACAGCCAAACTATACATGTCATGTCCAGGTTCGTCGCAACGCTCGGTGCGCTCATCTCAATCTAACCTCAGTTCCCCAAGACCTTCCGCATGAACTGCTGGTATTATCCATCCGTGACAACCAATTAACAAAACTTTTAAACACGTCGTTCATGAATTACAACCAACTTGAAGACTTGTATGCTGGTCACAACGTAATTGCCTTCATTGATAGTGGAACATTTGAAACTCGACCACAATTGCAGGTCGTGAGACTAGATTATAACCTGATTATTGTTCCGCCTATGTATTTTCTTCGGAAGAATGCTCTTTTATATATAATAAGTCTATCACACAACAAGATAAGTAACATCTCTTCTACATTGGACAGTACTCAGAAGTGTGGACAATGTTATGGATGGCGGAATATGTCAGAAGTTAATCTATCCTTCAACAAACTTACATCTATAAAGGAGGGCGACTTTTTACCTTGGAGAAATTGCTCTGTACGTAAGTTCAATGTAGATGATAACAATGTGACGTTTCTTGAACCTAAGGCGTTTGGAAATCTGCCCACATTAGGTACTCTGAACATGAACAATATCAAGTTAGCTACCTTCGACGTCGGGTATTTCATGGGCCACTTTGAAATCGATAGACTTCTGATGGATTCTTCAGGCATAAAGTACATTCATCCAGTGAACACAACGTTGGTACAAAAAGGAAATGTGCCACTGATTAAAGAACTTACATTAAATTTTAACATCTTAAGTAACATTCCTAGGTATGCTCTTCGTGGTTTTGAAAAACTGCAAGTCCTAAACCTTCAAGGGAATCGTATATCGAGCATCAATAATGAATCTTTTTGTGGCTTACATGCACTGGTAGCCCTCAGTTTGTTTTATAATAAAATAAATTCACTTCCCCGCGCCTCGTTCGCTTGCGCCTCGAATCTCACGAACATTGATTTGTCACGTAATAACCTCGCGACATTGGATCCCCAATGGTTTGACAGATCCTGGTTTCTCCGCAGCCTGGTGGTAGATCAAAGTGGCATCCGTCGCATCGCGGTCGGACCATGGAAGGCAACTAATCTCCAGACTCTTGTTCTTACAAACAACGATCTCCATTCTCTTTCTCATGGCACCTTCAATGGCTTGGCAAATTTGAAAACACTTATTGTTTCAGGCAATTTCAATCTTTTTCAAATGTCAGAGGACGCCCTCACATCAGTTGGTTCCTTAGAATCCCTCGTCATGACGGATTTGAGACAATTTACTATGAAAGGTTCGTTTAGAAATATGCAACAACTACTTTATCTGGATATGTCATATAGCCTGTTGAAAATGTCATCAATTGACCAGTTCACGAATACATCTGCGCTGAGGGTTCTCAATATGTCGGGATCACATCTCAAAGCTGAGGATTTAGTTGATATACAGACAGGGACATCGTTGTTTTCAGGCTTGGTCTCATTGCATATCCTTAAACTACGGAAAAACTCTTTAGATAACCTACACAATATTCCTGGCATATTCACCCCGCTTGGTAGTCTTGTTGAGCTAGACTTAACAAGTTGTCGTATACTACAAGTTGCGTCAGGAACATTTGCAAACTTAACGACCCTGCTAGTGCTTCGTCTGCCTCAAAATCAATTAACCAGCATTTTCAAGGACGCTTTTCATGGATTGTACAATTTACAGGTGTTGCAGCTGCAGTATAATTCAATTACATTCATCGACCAAGAGCTATTTCGGGGCACAAATGAACTTGTACAGTTGTACTTACAGAACAATCATATTTCGACCGTAGCCTCCAACACTTTCATGCCGTCAAGTTTGATTAGATTAAATATTGCAAAAAATCCCTTATCATGCGATTGCGAACTCACCTGGTTCAGACAATGGTTGAACGAGGTTGAAGGAAAAATAAATTTCGATCCAGAAAATGAAACCCTATGCTCTAGCAGTTCCTTAAAACCGTTGGTCAATCAAATAATTTGGTCGTTCCATCCGTTTGAATATTGTAGGATCAATGCCATGATAATCGTTTCCGCATGTTTTGCGCCGATTTTAGTTTTAACCCTCGGTATACTCGTGTATCTGAACCGATGGTGGATAAACTATAAGTTGTATCTCCTCAAGTTGGCTATCGTTGGTTACCATGAGATCACTGAAGATCGGAATCCGGAGGACTATGAATACCAACTCAACCTCATGTTTCATGACGACGATGAATGGTGGGTAAATGACTTCATGAAACCTTTTCTGGAGCAGAGGATGCCTCATCTGGAGCGCGTCATATTTGGTGATGCCGATCTTCACCCAGGATTGTTCTACTTGAACGCCATCTATGACGTCATCGAAAACAGCCACAAGACAATATTGTTGCTTAGCAACCAGTCTGTGGATGATACCTGGTACATGACCAAGCTCCGTATGGCAGTGGAGCACATGAATGACACAAAGTTGGAGAAGGTCATCCTGATTTTCTTTGAAGACATCGATGATGACCATCTACCGTACCTTGTTAGGCTCTTGCTGAGTCGGAACAAGCCTTATTTGCTGTGGACAGAGGATGAAGAAGGTCAGGAGGTCTTCTGGGCAAAGGTCCAGAAGAGCATGAGATCAAACCGGCAAATGAACAATGTTATACCCGTTTAAGAAGAAGGTTGAGTATTGGTCCTCAGACTTCACTGTGAATTAAACAGTCCAGGAGCAAGCATGATTACATAACGGTGATCATGTTCGAGGTAGCATACATAATTTGTGCTGAAAGTCTCTAGCACTGAATACCATGTACACAGAAATGTGTGTATGGGGCTACAAAAATATGTGGCATGGCCTGTTGAATTGTTCAAGCATTTCAGCTATCTAATGTGATGTTTCAAATGAGAGGGCATTTGAAAAGCAAATCTTAACGATGGATAACTTTACAATGATTTTCTTCCAAAAATGACTTTAAAAAACGGCGGAGCTTGTAATTATTGTCTCATCCTTGCCAAAACACAACCTTCTCTTGCAAACGTATGGTGGTGTGACCATAGTTCGCGCGTGACCTTCATTCGCGAACAGTTCCATAACTCAACAAAAATCGTTAAGATTTCGAAATTCTGATATCACAAATGGAAAGAGAAACATTGAATTAAACAGTGACAAAATTGGGTATGAAAGTATAAAAATATTGACAAAAGAATTATGGAGACTTTTGCGTTCGTTCTGAAATAAGGAACTTACAGAAAAGGGTTACGAAATCTTTAATTTGAAAAACGATATCATCGACATTTTTAGTAAAAAGTGATACCAAATGATTGTATGATATACTGACTTGCTATTATGTAATTACCTTACCTTTGATTGATCGTCTTTTGATAAATCACTTTCCTTAAAGGTACTATGTCCCATTTACAGGCCAACAAAATGAAAAGCTTAAATTCCAACGGCATTTGAAAGATAATACTAATTTAGAACTTCCCTAAAAAAGGTGGGGCTCTAAAATGTCTTCAAGTGGGAAAATAACGACTATTAGTTGCCAAATCGACTTAGGAACTATAGAGCCAATAAGTAATAGTCTTGATTTTCAGGCCATTGTACCGAATGGTCATACGTTGTATGCTGCGCAAAGATTCAATCAGTTTAATTTTGGCCATCACAAGAAGTGAGTCATTGATGCTCATGTATACTTTACAGCTCATTTTATGTATGTTATTACCAAAGAAGAAAAATGCCAGTCAGTCACTCAATAGTGTCTGACAGTGAAGTCTAGCAAGTAAACGGGTTTCCTTGCATAATTTGAATATTAGGACACTGCTAACGTTTAAATTTCACAGATAGGACATACATGACATATTCATAATGCCTGCAAAGTTCTACAGAATTTGAGGTTGGCTGCAAAAGGGACATAGTCCTTTTAACTCTCGTGCGCAAATTATGGTCTGTTTTGATGACCTTTTCTTCAGTTGTAGCGCATTCCAATACGGCATCTAATTTTTAGATCTCGAAATCGCAGGAATCCATTAGACAAAACATTTTCTAATTGCACCTATTTGTAGTTTAATATTTGAACGTTCATTTGTACTCATTGATTTTAATAAATTTGTGTATAATATGAGAAATTATGGATTAAATATATTATTCGTTTGATTAAAATGTAAACGAACTTAGGACACCCCATCCTACCTCCCTTGTCATGTGCCTGTGATAGGGAAAGTTTGTGTAGGCCAACTGTTGATTAACATTGAAAAGTCTTCATGAAGTTATAACTTGCAAAAGGTGTTGTTCGTTTATGAATTTCGAGTTTCATCTTCTAATTTAACATATTCCTGCATGTAATATGCGCTTGTAACTAAATTTGGTGCACCATAAGATGCAAAAAGACGTACGGCGAGGTTGTGACAACAGCATTAGTTTTAATCCGTCTATCTCACTATCTTTTTCTACCCTGTTACCATATATCTCATTACCATTTTGCTTTATCATTTTTGTATCGTTAACATTGCTAATATTTCTATCTCAGACTCCAAGTGGGACGTGGAAGAGACTGGATTTCCAATGACTGTGTAGATGTGGCTGGGTTCGGAAAGGGAGGGGGGGGGGGGGGTTGGGTTTGGAAAGTTTTGGGTATGTATAGAGGGAGGGTGGATAGGTCGAATTTTATGTTTGTCTGTCTGTGTGTCTGTGAGTGTGTGCGCGCGTGTATGTGTGTTTGTGGGAGGCTCTTTTTTGAAATATTGTTCATTCATTGCACAACATATTATATTGTTATTAATGAGTAATAACTCCCAACTGTATATGATTCTATTATATTTCTGTAATAATTAGGAACTACGCGTGTATATGCTTTGTTATGCATTTGTAATAGTTTGATATGGAGATGTAAAAATGGAACAGTGCGATTTTGTAATCGTAAATTTCATTCATGCTAAAGTAATGTACATGTCACTTAAGTATCTTGTAGTATTATAACAAATTATGTATATATTATCATTCTGAATGACGATAAAATATCTTCTTTTTAATAATTAAAAAAAAAGCCACAATAAAGAAACAAACAAAAGAAAATCAGAAAAATTATTTATGTTCTTACTTTAATGCATTGACAATTTACGATTCGTCCCCTTCACCTCCCAAAGTAATGAAATATCGCCGTCTTTTTATAAAATACTTGACAAGACGGAATAAAATAGATATATAAGTTATAAGCATTGGAATAATGATTGCATTGATAGTACAATTACAAAGATCAGTGTGATATTTGTAGCAATACATTTCTTATGGATAAATTACTATGATAATGGTAAATTTTAAGGAAAACACGATCTCAAAGAACTTTCGAGAGCAAAAATCAACCGAAGCCAATTTGAATAGCCATGTTTATCACCGATTTAAATTAATGTGCAAACATTATACAGTGCCGCAACGCGTAATCTGACCATTTCTATGGGATATCAAAGGGTACTGAAGGTAATTAACCTGCTCCCAGAATACGTTCATTATAGGGTGATCGGCATTACCAGTTATGAAAAATGGTAATAAATTCAACCAATTTAAAAAATAACTGAGATTTAAATACAAATACGAAAGGGAAAAGTTACACTTTTATGGAATTGAAAACCCTAGGAAGTTTCCTTGTAATGTCAAAAACATCTCTTCATTAATTGTAATAATAATAACAAATCATATCGAAACGTGCAGCCATTAAGTTTACAAACGAACCGCGGTACAAACGCTAAGCGTGACAAAACTAATAACAGCATCCAACATGATTGAACGTTATCATGGTTACTTTTTCATTGTGTTTCATTATGCTGCAATTGTATGAGCTTGCCAGTAATTTCACGTAATTTATTTTCTGTTTGTGCAAACAGAATATGTATAGTTTTAGGTACGATATTTTACAATTATAGTGAAGTATGTTGTTACCATAATATATTTATGCAACCAGTTCCACTCTGTTTCTCAATTGTAATTCTTAATATCTGACCATTTAGAAAAGATGACCTCTCACAGAAATTAGATTTGAAATCCCTGCACCCATTGTACTGTACAATACAGTATAATACAAACAAAACTTCATCTCACTATTTCAAATGTATGGTAATGAATATTATGATATGAAAACTCATGAATATCGAAATCTTCATTTGCATATGTTCTTTATTTTGTCCGTCGCTTTAGATGATGTATTATCACTGTAATTGAGTAATTAAACACCGAAAAGGTTGTGGAGCTAGACAGATTTCTTTCACTTTCTTTTCTTGCTGTCTGAGTCATGTTGGATGTCATAGATATATCCTAGAAATCACGTAGATGCCCCCTGGACCAAATCAAAATAAATGGGCCTAAACTGTCCGTTATAGAGATTCTGTTCTATGTAGCTTGTGTTCATATTTTGTTCATGAATGTATGATTGCTGAATTCTATACAATATTCCCTCTACAACACGATTGGAATAATTAAAAACATTACAACAGGAATGAGATTAAAATAACCACAGTGCATTCTAAATGACATGTACATTGAATACTCACCTACTTTTATCCAATAAAACAAAATATTTCGATATATGTACTGTACACGTTCTTTTTTAGTATACTTTTATATAATATATATATGCTAAGTATCATTATGATTATAGGAATTACTAGTGTCAGTATAGTACTAGGAAATAAATATATATATATAGTAATAGAAAGGGACTTTATGATGTTTAACTATAGTATCTAAGACTGTATTTAGTACAGTGAATGTATAATATGATGCGTTATATACGTAACATTTACTTGCACATGCCCTGATAAACTCGATGTCTAATATCGCTTGATGCGATTGTATTCCAGCACCCGTTTCACCAACTTTCAGACGCTGTCATACTGTCCCGTGTTATGACAATGTCACAATTGTATCTGTACCTAGATTACAACCCCTACATCAGCTCATGAATAGCTCACAGTAGTAAACCATGTACTCTCGTAACATCACATGTGGATGATATGGCATCAAGGTAGATGTAAACTGAAACATGGCCACTTCATCAGGTAGTGAGTTTTGTTATATGCATGTACCTAACATGTGTAGTCTTAGTGGTCATCTATCTTCCTGTCTAAAGTGGCCAGCTTCATTATTGGCTCCTTTTCTAGAGCTTGTAGCGCCTGTGAGGTTATACGAGTACACGGTTTACTAATGTCAGCTATTTATAAGGTGGCTTAGTAATTATAATCTTGGTAAAGTTATTTTCTTCATAATACGTAACAGCTATAATACTGTGTTAACTTGGTGAATGGAATTACTCCAGCCGGTCTTTAGGTGGTGGTGAGGGCTGGGGTAGGTGCAGCATCGGCGTTGATGATACCAATGAGAACATTCTTGTAGTCTCCACTGGTGTCATCTTCGACCATAGCAGCCAGGGTGGTCGGGGTGTATTTCTCCTTGAACATGGTCTTGATGGAAGCCAGGTCGATCTAGACCAGAGAGAGAGAGAGAATTCCAAAGATACATATAAAAGGAAAACAAAATAAATTTAAGGAAAGGAACAAAAAATGTCCTTTTAGGTATCGGTGGTTCTTGATCAAATTTCGTATTAGCCCGATTATCACTCGATTATCACTGAATTCTCTCACCACCATGAGCTATGCATGGACCACTCGGTTCTAGTAGGCAGTGAGTTAAATAAATTTAAATGTATGCTCTGATTGAATAAGGCGGCAAAACAATGACCCCGCCCCCCCCCCCCCAAAAAAAAAAAAAAAAAAAAAAAAAAAATTGTGGCGTAGTCAAGGGCGGGAAGGAAACAATTGTCCGATCTCCCATTTGCCCCAATAAATTATATACAGACCAAATTAGAGAAATACATTTTAATTTAATCCGAGAAGCAATGTAGGGAAAATGAGATGTTGTGATTTTGTAATTGCAAGCCCTTTACGGGGTCCAACCTACGACTTCCACATTTTTTGCAGTCGAATATTCAAACAACTTGACCACGAAACAGGAAAAAGAAGATACAAAGTAGCAAAGGATTGAACTAATGAATAGAACAAGAAAGATAGAAATAAAAAGAAATGCAAGAGCGAGAGAAAGAGAGAAGGGGAGAGAGAGAGACAGAGAGATAAGGAGAGAGGGAAAGAGAGAAATAGAGAGAGAGAGAGAGAGATAAAGAAAGGGGAGTGAAAAAATGTTAACTATTTTCTGATTTAAATATTCATCTCTCCTGTATGACCAACTTACCTCTGATCTGCCTACGACGATGCGAATGAGTTTGTCATCGTCGGTACCTAGTCCCTTCATGGCCCAGTACAGCGAGTCAACGTAGAACGCAAGAGGTTGGCACATGCTCTTGACTGTGAATGTGATCAAATGGGATAAGATCAGCTCAGTCACGGTTACATTACATTCAATTTACATTATCATTACATTACAGTACAAAGTCTTTATGTTGTGTCCCTCAAACTGTGAGAAAATCTTAAGGGGAAATGTCGTATTCAATATTCATATGCGGACACTGTTTTATGGCATAACTTGCTGGAATACCTCAATTAATTATCTACATTTTGATACCAAATTTGCATGAGTTTAGGAATAATTAACATCACAATTTTTCGTAAAATATTGTTTTTTGTGATTTTCATAAAGGGATAAAGGAATAATGTTTAAAAAAAAGAGAAAGAAGATACAGAGAGAGAAAGACATGGAGAATAAGGAGAAGAAGAAAGAGGAACAGAGGAGAAGGAGGAGAAGGAGAAGGCTAACAAATGAGGAAGGAGAAGGAGGAGGAAAAGAAGCAGAAAAAGAAGCAGAAAAAGGAGAAGAAGAAGGAAAAGAAGCAGAAAAAGAAGAAGAAGAAGAAGAAAAAGAAGCAGAGGAAGACGATTAAATCTAGAACTCACAAATAACCCTGAAGGCAGCTTTCTGAGTTTCATCCATATTGCTATCCTGCATAACTTTCTCCAAACTCAGATTGTTGGCCTGAAATTGCTGCAAACAAAATCGATTAGAAAGCAATCAGATATCCATATTATAATTTTCACATCTTTATATGGGAAGTCCCAATGGTTGTACTACATTTCCTCCGGCGACAATAGCTCCACAGTCAGTATTTTGTCATGAACAATTCCCAAAGATATTTGATGACTATTCTTTTTCTTTCCTTTTCTTCCTTACACCGCTTATGAAACATGAAACATAATTGTGATATGTGCTATATAAATATGTTGTATAATAAAAAATAAAAAAATAATAATAATAATATTTATTATTTATCACTATAAGTTTTCTTCTGCCTGACCACGAAAAATTGATGGTGATTGGATCTTTTTTTTAAAATAAAAAATATTACGACAAAAAACGTACAGAAAGAAAGAGTTAATAAATAAAGATAAGAGACGGCAGATAAGAGACGTAATCCCCGAATTTCCACGCCCTTCGAAATTGAGCTGGGCGTACCATCGATGCGTACGGATTCGTGGATCACGCCATCTTCGGCTTGCAGCAGGTAGGGGATATGAGAGATCGCCATTGTGACATAAAATAAAACCGTCCAGATTATGGATTAAAGCACACGCCCATGTAGCCAAACCCTCGTAAACTTTAGATTATTAAAACAAAGTTTTATTCTACGTACCGCGTCAGCAAGTGTGAACGTTTGTCTCAGCTGGACAATACTCGCCCTCCCAAACAGTTCTGCGACGCGCTCATTGGGCAGTTGCCAGTCCTCGGGCTTCGTCTGAATATTTGACAAACAAAATCATGATATAATAATTATGCATATATAAGGCTACTGCTACAGCATGACTCATATAGCTAGAAAAAGCTAGAAAGAACGTTTAAGCCTTGATGTAAATGTAAGAAATATGACATTGCTTTGATGCAATTACGAGACAAACATTTTCCATAGTGTTTATATACTCAGGAGATTAGAGTGTGTAGGTTTAAACTACAAAAGTTTAAAACTATTGCCTTCTCGTAACATTGGACGTTTACGTATAACGAACTTACAATGTCCTTTACCGTTTAATAAAAACAGACATGTACAAAGTATTCTACAATTAGTCATATCAGTTAATTCAATTCGAACCTTACTTTAATATATTACATTTTTAACCAACGTTGTTTTTTTAACCGTCGTCATCAAAGAACATTTTGGGGGTCTACAAAAAGCTCTTCTCCATCGGAAAAGTAATAAATCACTTTTTTTTTATTTAAAAGAAAGCCGTGCTAATTTTAAGTTTGTAACATATTGAAATAAAGTTAGTACGAGTAGTTTTATCATAATTTAAACAAAACTTTGTATTAAAATAAGAGCTTACTTTGAAAAAATAATCAGCATCGTCCTTTGCGGTAGCACTGTCTACGCGGATAGAAGACGAACGCTCTCCCTGAAAGTATAAGAAGAAGGTGAACATGAAAACATCTGTTATTAAGAAGAGAATGACACATGACGTAATGCGAAAATGATTTCTAGAATCCATAGTTACCGGATATTGAAATTGCCCTTGAGTTGATTTCTTGAAAGTATTTGCGGTCTTGTTTGGAACGAAAAAAAAATTAATTAATCTCCCCCAAATTGCCCTCAGGAATCCTATCCCCTGGCAATAAAGAAATACTCAGGACACTTACCCTAGAGTACTCCCCCCCCCCCCAACACAAACAAATACCCCCTTTAACTTGCTTAAGGCTCGTTCAGGTACGACACGGTGATAAACCGCCGCAAAAAAAATACCACTGCGTTTTTTTACAATAAAACCTGACAAACTAATGGAACATACCACCAAGATGTTTAAGATGACGTCCTTGAATGGTCCTGTATCAGTTTTGCTTACATCTTCGTGGAGGACCGTGGAGAAAGCTTAAAGAAAAGGAACCAATAGCTGCATTCATTTGCTTGTCCAAAATATAGTATGGTATTTTGTAATGAAACCTCTTGTCGTTTGAACAAAAACTATAGCAAAAGTATTCAGTGATCGATAAGGAGTTAGCCTAAGTCTGAGACAAGAAGGACATATATGAAAACCTGACAAACATATACAAGAGCTGATACAAATATGGGTATAACGGGACCAATGACTAGTTATTATTAACCCCAATCACTGACGTCACGACGTTGTGTCACCTGGCCTACACAGGTGACTAACGTTTTCTATACATTTGTTTGCTATTGTTTGAATCCGTGAAAGCAATGATTAACTACATGCATGAAATATTAAAATGGCGTCCACCTTTAAAGCAATTTGCAACAGGTATAATACAAAACACCAAACCGAATTGTGATTTGTATAAATCGTAATTTGTTGTAAAAGGTGCATTCACATAATAATATAATCTTTGAAGAGCATTTTGATTCGTTATGATATGGTTTGATTTTTTGATTTTCTTCTGCATTTCTAAAAACATAAACAATTTTAAACACTAAAAACTAATTACTGACAATGAATCATAAGTACTAGGCCTATGCAAATAAACATAACAATTATTACGGTTAAAAAGAAAGGATGAATTGTCAAAGTATCATATTTCATCAAAATTTAGTAAATCATTTGCGGAAGAAGGGTTCTCTGACAATGTACTAATGTGATAGACAATTTTTTACGTTGATTAACTCCTTTTAACAATTTTGAGCCAAAATTGCATAATTCTTTACTCTTGCAATTCACAAAATGTTATCTTAGTCTCATCCACGTGCCTGCAAATCTCAATATTAATTATATTTTTGTATTGTTGAACTTGAGCTTAAAATTAACTTCAAATTAACGAATGGTTGATGAATTCTGACGTAGATGAGAACTAAAATACTGAAGTGGATCAGTCACTTTTACCACTGAAACATTGAGCAGGAAATGAAAGAAAGAAAAAAAAATCCTGAAAGGGACAATGAATGGCAATTCAGTTCAATTACGAATGAAACAATATGAAACTCACTCTCTTTGTATACAGCTGCAATTCCAAGAACGTCCTAGGAAAATATAAAATATGAAGATGGTCTTATTGCTGAAATATATTATGATAACACAGGTTAACATCGGTAATGACCATTTCAGACTGATAATTATTGTAAACATCTGAGAAATGTACTGTACATGTATTTTTTTGAGATCCTGTACCCCTTTGTTGGAGATTTGACAATAAATTATACTCTTTTCATTCCCTGTATTACTCTTGAAATTATTAATTTGTACATACAACTAATGTACTGTACATGCTCTCTTCATGATGTACTAACTGTATCATGTATTTAGCTCTACTAGAGCTTAAATCTGGGCCCTGTTTCATAAAACGGTATATCAATAACAAAGTTACATAACTGTAATAAGCTATTGAAATCGTGGCATTTTATTGGCTGAGAGAAATGTTGTCATAAGAATAAAACAGTTGTTATTGATAACAATTTTGTATTGAAAGAGGGCCCAGATAAAGTGAAATTTGTTGTCAGTTTAATTTCAGAACTTCCAAATACTTGGTAATGTATGGCTTTAAATCCTCTCCGAGAGAGTTGGTAATGGGCACTAGGGCAACAGGTCATCGGCTCGGTTTGGAACCCGGAAGTTCTCGGTTACGAGACTCCTGCTCTACCACTGAGCCACTGCACCTCACTAGCACACCTTCATTACACAATAACAAAATTTGCCCCTAAATTTGGCTGCCTACGGTAGGGCAGTAGTCTCATTACCGAGAGCTCCGGGATTCCAAATCAAGTAGATGTACTGATGTCCTTTCGAATTAAGGCATTATATCTCATTACCGAGCCCCTCGGAGAGCATTTAAATCCATTAGTCCCCTGGATGCATACTTACAAGCATGCACGTACTTTCCTAGCAGTCAGGGGAGAAACAGCCATCAATCATCAAACACAGAATGACATTTGATATACCTTGATCCATTTAACACAGGAGGTTTACACTTACCGTTGCAGAGAGTGGGTAGATGATCTCGAGTAGACCGATTTCCATCTTATCACCACCACACTATGGAAATCAAAGAAGAATATTAAAAAAAAAAAAAAACGTATCCAGCATTAATTATGGATTTGCACTTTAACAAGTTTCTGAAGAATAACAACTTTTATGATTCCATGGCAAAATGTTTATCTCAAGTTAATTCAACCATGTATGAGTACTATTTTTTTTATCTCAACAAAAAATACCGTGAAAGGAACAAAATTTATGAGAAACACTTGAATTTTGTTGCAGTACTCTTTGAACAAAATTGTGCTTATGTTTATTTATATTAATTCATTCAATTTAACTTTCTTCATTACAAAAAACTAAATTATCATAGATTGTTAATATCTTAAAGAAGTATTTGAATACTTAGTATTTGAATTTGTTTTTTGTTCCTTCATTGCTATTTCTGTTATGTCTAAAGCCACTTGTCCCCACTTTGCGGTACTGACTGGTGTCTTCATTAGTACAGGGGTATCGGTGAAGTGATGTAACTCACTTGGCACAGGTTGTTGAGGCATCGAGCAATCATGACTGCAGGTTCATCCATTAGAGCTTTGACAGTCTTGCGGTAGTCTCCGCTCAGTTCATCCTTCAGGCTATCGACAAGGTCCTTCGTGACACAAGTAAGAAGAACGGAACATGAGGAAAAGAGATAATGATAATGATTACAAATTATAGGCATTTCTATAACGCCGTCTATCTAGAAATCTTATTCCAAGGCGCATTAATTAATACCCCGGCTTTAGTCTAGCTGCCTTTACAGCGCTCCAACATTTCAAGGAATAAATTCCTGCCAGGTACCCATTTACCGCACCTGGGTCGAGTGTGGCAAATGAAGATTAATACCTTGCCAAAGGACAATTCGTGCCGTATCGGGGACCGAACCACGACCTTTGAATTTCAAGTCAAGTGCTTAAACGACTAGACAAAGACACTTCTACAGATTTGTTATAGTATTTGGTTCTGCATCATGTAAAATATATTTCACATGAAAGTATAAGTTCTTTCAAAAATATAATGAATTAAAGGTAAAGACCAGTTATGGTCATGCGATTGAATTGTGAAAGAAACGTTGTGGAATCGATCAGAAAAGGTTGATCATCTAGCATCTAGCATCTGCAAGGTTCTGGAATCGTCAAAATGATAAGAAATTTGGCCCATTCTTCGTAAAATTACAAGCACTATACACAGAAAGATGTATATGGGACTACCCTATATCTCTCACAGGACCATGAGAGAAACAAATTTACCAAATATATCAATTAGTAGGCGGTTTCCCGGCAATTTTTTTATCATCATGTATTAGTCAAAACATATTCTTTCACATGATTGGTAATGAGAGCTTCCATTTCATTTTTTGAAATTGGGGCGTTACCAATACTGGTCTTTACCTTTAAGTCTAAATACGAAAGATAGTTCAAGACCGCTGGCTCACGAGTCAAATGGCCACAGTTTTACCCTTACATGTATATATGGTGACCCTCATGACCATTTGGGACGTTTCGGAGAAGGTAAGGTATTTAGTGGATGTACAAAAATTGTTGCATTTCTCATTGTTTAACCTACATGAACTTAATTTCTATTGAGTATTTTAAATTACTTGAAATCGCAAATATATCGCAAAATGTTTCCTTTTATTCCAAGAAACAAAAATTGTCTACCTTTCCCTAGGTTCTTATTACTTTGGAAAACGTGAGCATCCAGATGATACTGCAGTTGCCAATAAATTCATTAGACCAGGGGGTGTTTCACAAAGATCCTAAGTTGCACTTAAATATTATGGAGAGCCATTTGTAGCCTTAAAATAAAATATGTTCAAAAGCAAAAATTCAAGTATTTTAGACTTTTTATTAAAACATGAAATGTCCTTAAAAATAGAATATATGAATGATTCAAATCAACATTTTATGCCTCTTAAAATAACTTTTATAAAATATTTTCAAAGATGCTGAGAGCTTTCCATAATTGTTAAGTCCAACTAAGAGATAAGTTCAAGTTAGGATCTTTGTGAAACACCCCCAGGGATTTATCGCAGATCTCCTTTGTAGCTCCTTTATAATGCCTTAGTCAAACCAACGAAACCGACACCAGACCACCCCCCCAAAAAAACAAAAAAAAAACAAACAAAAAATAACAAACAAAAATAACAAACAAAAAATAACAAAAAAATACCCCAAAAATACAAATACAAATAAATAAATAAATAAATAAATCATTACCCCGAATGGGCAAGAGCTTGTCGGTTTTGGAGTTGGTTTGGCGGTGCGACTATAAAGGTATGAGACATATGAATATGAAATATTAAAATATATTACAAACCTGCGTGTATTTGGTCTTGAAGGCTTCCTTAATCTCTTGTCGCTGATTGTTTGATCTCTTGGTGAGAATAGCATTGATGGCGTCCTCATCCGTACCTTCGGTCATGAAAAAGTGGATAAACACAATTTCAAATTTTGCAGAAATTAACCAGGGGTACTATTACAAAAGGGGCAGGGAGTGATATTTATTTCATGTCCTTATATTTGGCCTTTTATTTCATTTAGCCTATTATATATCTTTGTTGGCAAAATTGTCGGTCCCGTTCGTCTGTTTGAAGAAGAAAAAATGAAACCTCTGTCTCCAAAACGAAACAAAAAACAATATGATTGGTTTTTATCCCACAGAATGTTAAATTTGGAATCTTCCGATCTTCCATCTTCTTTCTCTTTTCTACAACTTGTAACTCCATAATCCTTTTCCCGACACCCCTTTTCACAAAATGACCCTGTGACACCGCTTAGGACATCGCCAAACATATCACATATTGAAGAAGATAAAATGAGAATGTCTTACCGAAACCGGCCATAGCTTCATAGAGTGCCGTAGCGTCAGCATCCTTATCGAAAGGGACAGCTGGTTTTACAGTTCCCTGGAGAAAAAAAGGTTGCATGATACAAGCTCGGTGAAAATATCCCTGCGGTCAAGTTTTAGTTCAATTTTATTCCATTCCAATAAAAGCATATGCTCATGTAATTTTTTTTTTAAAGCACAGATGCAAATCATTATACATATAACAAAGGTTACTATAAAAGACCAAGGCGGTATGTCGAGATAGTCCCTTTATGAAAAAAAAACTGAAAGTGCTGAAAAGCAAGAGGATAAATAATAATATATAATCTTACCCTTGCCGAATTCTTAGTTTCAACCTTTAACTAAACATTTCAGCTGACCTATACGGTATAGCGCCCTAAAGCTAAATCTATGGTAGATGCAACACTGACGATTTCTCCGTTTTTCAGCGAAGCATGTGTTGGAGCCTCCCCCCCCCTACCAACAAAAAAGAAAGAAAGAAAGAAATATGACTGATAAATGTAAACAAATATATTTAAAAAAGGAGACATATGAGAGCAGAAATGGGAGTAGGTGGGAAAGAAGTGGGAGAGAGAAAAATAAGATAACGAGAGAAAGAGGGAGAGGGGGTTAAATGAAAGTTTGGGAGTCATTAAATGACATAAAATAAACATAATGAAATAGTAATAAAAACCATAAATGTAGAAGTGATAGAGAGAAGTTTACATGGTAAATAAAATAGCCCCCTCAAAGATAAAATCAAACAAGAGGGAGAAAATGAAAGTAAGACAGATAGAAAGAATTTAGGACTGCGGAGAATGCAATGAATATATAACAATATATAAATACATCTCTGTGATACATGTACTTTGTAACAATAATCGTTTAAATAAAAGAGAACATAAAAAAGGAAAATAAAACCATATACGCTTATCAAACTTAATTCAGCTCTATCGAAACCATGATGTATCTTACCGAAATAGTCGTCATCTTAGCAATTCTTGTTATAAAAAGTATGTCCTACTTCGAAAAAACGTCATGAAGAAATGACTAGTACAGCCCAATTTTACCGGTCAATCTCTGTTTCCTTCCAGGAGTTTATATCGTTTTAATTACTATTATTAAAAGATGAAGGTTATCTGTCCTTGTTACGCCCATATACCAATAAAAGAATGAAGGACAACAATTTGTGATGATAAAAAGAGTACAATTATACCTGCACATTCTGATTTTACATGTTTTATTATAATCTTTGAGATCGGTGATGAAGGCCATGCACTGTCTAGCCAGTTATTAACATTTGAATTGGCATAATATCGAAATAAATTGTTACAAAGAATATCCGCTACGGTCGGGTTTTAGAGTTATTGATGTATAGTTTTCATTATATGACTAAATATTTGTGTAAAAATGTTCTTATGCAGTACAATGGAGGGGAAGGAGGGAAGTCTTCTTATTCTTCTTTTTAGTTTTAAATGAAAGGATGTGAAGTACAATAGATTGGAGAGGGGGAAAGCTAAACAAAGCAAGAGAGAAAGAGGAGAGAGAAAGAAAGACAAAAAGTGAAAGAGAGGGTGAGAGATAGAGAGAGAGAGAGAGAGAGCGAGAGAGAAAGATAGTGGCGATAGAAAGAAATATCATGAAAATTAATTTTTTGCTAAAAGAAAAATAAATGTTGGGGGAATAAACAGAGGAAATAGCTGAGGAGGAAGACAGGAAGGGCATATACCTAAGAAAGTTATTTTGTATCATTCAATAAACGATGATTGAGGTAAAATAATATTGCAATGACCTCGCATAATATTCATATACAAGGCATCATTATATCATCTTGCTTTAAGAAAGATAATACCTGGTAAATGTCCCATAAAAAGTAAAACAATACGTTATAGCTCAGAACATTGATAAATAAAAGAGAAACTTCACGAGCATAAATTACGGGAGAGAGAGAGAGAGAGATGGAGAGAGAGAGAGAGAGAGAGAGAGAGCGAGAGAGAGAGAGAGAGAGACGGGGGGGGGGGGGGGGGGGTGCGTGTAAAACACTAATCATGCCAATTATGACATGGTGTAACTGTCTACATTGTAAATGTGAAGAAAAAAATCATCGATTTCTAAATGATGATGAAGGTTCCGGTTATTTTTCATAATTACATAGGTATTATACATAATACATGGGTATTATTATGTGCTCATATAATGACGTAAGGAGGAAGAGGGTGGGGGAGGGAGGGAGCGGAGGTTATTGCTACTAATGGTAATCCTGAAATAAGATTTAGAGGAGGAGTTCGCTCACCGGTGATTGGTCAATGCCTTTAGAGATATAAGCCTCTATGTCTTACCAGGGAGTTGAAAGAAAGGAGTGTGATCAAGTCGCTTGAACAGGTGGTGAAATAAAACAGCGCATGACATTAAAAGATTTAAAATTTCTACATCAGAAAATGGTATTTCAGCAACTGTTCGCTGTCCCTCTCAATGATTTCTCATCCATTGTTCAATGTGAAATGAGTAGAACAAGCGAACACAAACTTGTGTATTTTCATCCTTTTTTCCAACTGCAAAAATTCAAAAAAGATACGAAAACACGCTTAGCAAACTTAAAGTTATCGAAGATTGGGAATCATGGATTAAATAACGGGACATTAAAACATGCACAAATTAGCGCATTATCCTGAAATATTGAGTTTTTGTCAGGATCTAATTTTTCTGTTACCAACTCTGGCACACAAATTGTAGGAAGGGCGGAGTACTAAATTTGAAAAATTGTTTGATTCACTATTCCCAATACAATCCCCATTTAAAGTTTATAATTTTCATTGAAATTTTGCTGGTAATTTAATATTTTGTAATAAATGTGAAACTGGTGCCTGGCCTCCGAAACTCCTAGCAGTAGAAGCGCGGCTCGGAGCATGGAACTTCAAAGTCAAGTGTAATGCACGGGTCTAACCCACGACCTTTACATTGTCAGTCGAATATTTAAACAACTTGACCACGAACTATGAAGAAGAATATACAAAGTAACAAACGATTGAATGGATTAATAGAACAAGAACGAGAGAAATGATAATAAATGCAAGAGAGAGAGAGGTGGCCGGAGGGGCACGAATGGAAGGGGAGGGAGAGGGGAGAGAGAGGGAGAGAGAGAGAGAGAGAGTGTGTGTGAGAGTGAGAGAGACAGAGAAAGAGGGAGAAAGAGAGAAAGGGAGGTAAGATACAAGTTATTTCCTGGTCTGAATGAGATAAAGTGCTCTTACCAAATCACGAAGTTTGTTAACTTACAGGTATCAAGTTACGGGAAGCTAATGCAGGAAATAGTCTAGTACATAAATCTAATAAAACGTACGAAGTCCTCAGACGGTACTTAAGAAACTGCGTTGTTTTTTTGGAAGCCAGCAAAGGTGTTCATTCTTAATACATACACAATTTGCTTTATGAATACGAAAGCTGGAACTGTTGCCAAAGCTTTTATTGTAACAAACAGCTCAGTGTACTTGTGGAGAACGATCAATATGGCTAATCTCACGATGGATTCCATGACGCGAACACTCTTGATCTTGATAGTAATATTTTTTGGAGGTATCGTGCAGAAGGTTAGAGTGGACATGCCAATCAGTTCACAACAGCCAAACTATACATGCCCAGTCCAGGATATTCAAATCGCTAAGTGTGCTCATCTCAATCTTACCTCAGTTCCCCAAGACCTTCCGCATGGCCTGTTGGTCTTATCCATCCGTCAAAACCTATTAACAGAACTTGTAAACATGTCTTTCATGAATTACAACCAACTTGAAGAATTGTATGCTGGTCACAACTTCATTGCCTTCATTGATAGTGGAACATTCGAAACTCTACCACAATTGCGGGTCGTGAGACTAGATTATAACCTGATTACTTTTCTACCCATGTATTTTCTTCAGAAGAATGCTCTTTTATATATAATAAATCTATCACACAACAAGATCAGTACCATCTCTGGCACTTCGGTGAGTACTCCGAAGGGTGGAAATGCTTATGGATGGCGAAATATGTTGATAGTTAATCTATCCTTCAACACAATTACTACTATAAATGAGGATGACCTTTTACCTTGGAGAAATTGCTTTGTCCATAAGTTCAATGTAAATGATAACAATGTGACGTTTATTCAACCTAAGGCGTTTGGATATTTGCCCAAATTAGGTACTCTGAACATGAACAATATCAAGTTAGCTACTTTCGACGTCCGGTATTTCATGGGCCATGTTGAAATTGAGCGACTTCTGATTGATTCTTCAGGCATTAAGTACATTCATCCAGCGAACATATCGTCGATGCGAAAAGAAAATGTGCCACTGATTAAAGACCTTAATTTAGATTTAAACATCTTAAAACATATTCCAGGGTTTGCTCTGCGTGGTCTGGAAAAACTGCAAGTCCTGAGCCTTGGAGGAAATCGTATATCTAACATCAATAATGAATCATTTTGTGGCTTACATGCACTGGTAAACATAAGTTTGTATGGGAATAGAATACAGTCACTTCCACGCGCCTCGTTCGCTTGCGCCTCAAACCTCAAGAAAATTGATTTGTCACGTAATAACCTCGTGACATTGGATCCCCAATGGTTTGACGGATCATTTTTTCTCCGTAACCTGGTGATTGATCAAAGTGGCATCCGTAGCATCACGTTCAGACCATGGGAGGTAACTAATCTTCAGACTCTTGTTCTTACAAAAAACTTTATAAAAACCCTTTATCATGAAACCTTCACTGGGTTGGAAAAATTGAAAGCACTTAATCTTTCTGGCAATGCCAATCGTTTGCGGATATTAGGGGACGCCCTCACTTCACTCGGTTCCTTAGAATTATTCGACATGTCGCATTCGAATGAATTAACCATGAAAGGTTCGTTTAGAAATATGCAAAATCTACTTTATCTGGATATGTCATATAGCCTGTTGAAAATGTCATCAATTGACCAGTTCACGAATACATCTGCGCTGAGGGTTCTCAATATGTCGGGATCACATCTCAAAGCTGAGGATTTAGTTGATATACAGACAGGGACATCGTTGTTTTCAGGCTTGGTCTCATTGCATATCCTTAAACTACGGAAAAACTCTT